CCTGTCGGCCACACGTTTCTTGTGGCTCTTGCTGCTCTTCCTCTTCACCCACCTAAAGATAAACATCACCGATTTCTGTGAGTAGCGGTCATTGATGATAGGTACACGTGGCAGAATGTGGAGACGACACGCCCCCTCTTCAACTTGATTTCCAACTGCTTGAAGGAGACTGAAAGGTGCAAAGGGCAGAAGATTTGAGTTTGAGTTGACAATCTTGGGCTTACTTGTGAATTGGGCTGCCATTTGTTTGTTTTTGTTTGGTTTTTTGGGGGTTGGTAAAATGACAAAAAAGACCCTTGTTTCTCTCCATTTCAAGGGCACGAACGTCATTGCGTACCAAAGATAAAGTAGTTGGTTAGATAGAGTGTTGTCATTTCTCGATGTGTATTGTTTTCATAAGGGGAAAGGAGCCAAGGCTTTTTTTATCTATCTAATATCTGTACATGACGACATTCTATGATGCCGACAAAATGACCACATTGTGACACATGAAGGTTTTAATTAATGCAAGACTCAACCCTTATAAAATCAAGAGCGACTTACAAGTAAGTAACACACGTACCTAGTGCTCCTTCTCAAACATTGCTAGTTAATTCCAAATCATATAACAGATGGTCATCCCAAAGGAGTGATGCTGAGAACACAAGAGGCATTGATTGCTATATTAGGTGTTAGCATAATTAATGCACTTTGTGTTCTCAGGTCACCCCTTTGGGATACCTTGTTTACATGTATCATATATTTTGGAACTTCTCAATGTGTTTAGTATAACTATTTGTTCAATCAACGAACCACGGGTTTTACATCTAAAATATAATTTTTTATTGTGAGAAGAAAAATACCATTAAATCAAATTTAGTTTTTGTTACATGTATTTTTTTATGTATTTGTTTTTTAAATTTCTTAGGTTATATACCGGACAGATCAATCTCGGAGTGGCACACAAGCATTTCACAATACCACTGCACAGTGGGACTACCGTCCACTATCACCAGTAAGTCGCGACTTGTCCAGCACGGAAAAAACCGGGAAGAATTGAAATTCGCCAAAACCCTAACTCCGGCCTTGTTCCGTACAGCTCGCCATGGACATGGAGATCGATCCTCCCAAGTCATCCGAGCAGCAACCCAAAGCCGAAGACTTGTTTAAAGCCGCTGAGGCTGGTGATGCTTCGGTGTTCAAATCGCTCTCTCAAAAGCAGCTTGCCGAAGCTTTGTCTCTCAGGAACGATGACGCCCGCTCCGTCCTCCACGTCGCCGTCTCTTCGAGTAACTCTGAGGTCCGTCTTCTTTCACATAACATTCCTCCGTATCCCATTTGGTTGCCCAGAAACTATAGGACAATAATAGGAAATTTGCTGTCTTATGTTTTCTATTTTGCTTTCAGTTTGAATTGAAAATAAAATTTGTGAAGTATCCTCAATTTGCTTCAATTTTAACGCTCTCTGCTTCAAATTCGATGATTTTGTGGCTATCTGTGGAGGCAGGTGGTGAAGGTACTACTAGCTGCTGATGAATCAAAAAATGTGATAAACAGTGTGGATGAAGATGGATGGTCACCGCTTCATTCTGCGGCCAGCATTGGGAATTCTGGAATAGTTGAGCTGTTGCTAAGCAAAGGTAAAGGTGTTAGATTTCCTAGTTTCTGATTTATGTCGTTTTTAGCACCTTTAATAGTTTTATCATGTCAAGTCTGACTCTCTGTGTTTGGTTAGGCAATGTTAGGCGTTGTGAATGGTAAATTTTGACCAGTGGTTTAATTGGAATCTCAATGTTCTGATTTATTGTTCTTAACAGGAGCTGATGTTAATTTGAAAAATGGTGGGGGTCGCTCTCCCCTTCACTATGCTGCCAGCAAGGGATGGTTGGAGATTGCTCAAATTTTGATCTCACATGGGGCAAAGGTTAATCTGAAAGACAAGGTGTGTAACTTCAAACAATAGTGTTTTATCTGGGGAACTTTACTTTCAGTGTATATCCATTTTCATGAGCACCATGTGTTGATATCATGTTCGCATGTTCTCTTAATTTCTTGTAATTGCTGAATTCTAATTATATGGTATGCGTTGCGGTTAGGTTGGTTGCACCCCATTGCACCGGGCAGCTAGCACTGCGAAATCACAGTTGTGTGAACTTTTAATTGAGGAAGGCGCAGAGGTTGACGCTGTTGATAGATTGGATCAGACTCCTCTTATGAGTGCAGTGATTTGCTATAACCAAGAGGTAGGTTTGAGTGCTTAGTTAAAGAATTACATTATTGATTGCACTTTTATTGCATTTTGGATATAAACTCATGCTCGCTCGAATAAGCTAATTTTGATTGAGCATTTCTGGTTCTAGTTATAGGAATGGAATAAATAGTTTGGGAAAGAGGTCTTAGTAAATGAATATTTTGGTTGTAATTTATAGAATTTCATTTTTCTTTTCTTTAATTATTAACTTGATTGGAATATATGAGCTTTTTAGAGCCTGGTGAATGAGTGCTTAATCTGTCCACTAAAGCTGGATGGCTTGTGATATATGAGGCATGTTGCATTTCTGTGTTATCAATTTGGTTACCAAGTTGACATGGAAAGAATTTTGTATTAACTTCTGGTCTAGTGTAGCAGCAGAAAGCATAATTCAAGGTTTTCTCAAATCTCTGTTAAATTAATTTATGTTGGTGACAGGTTTCTCTCCTTCTAGTAAGGCACGGAGCAGATGTTGATGTGGAAGACAAGGAAGGATACACAGTGCTTGGTCGAGCTTCAAAAGAATTCAGACCACTATTGATTGATGCTGCTAAGGCCATGCTCGAAGGATGATTCTTTTGCACTAAAAGTGTAAAACTTGTCTAAGGCAGAAGTTGCACTCGTGACGTTTAAATTGCCACCGTCAATGACCAATAGAAACAAAGAGAAAATAGGAGTTTTTTTTCACTTTTCAACCAAGGCTTAGTTGCATTGCATGCTGACTGTTTTGAATTTTAGTTTCAGTGAATGTACCTCTAAGATATCGTTGTTTGGCATTTTCTAATTTCGATTTAAAGCAAGTTCAGGCTCTCTGTTTTAGCAATCACCATAACCATGTTGTGCAGAAAACTCCCAACGATCTTATTGTTGATGGGCTTTAGACAAACACACAATGGATGTGTCAAAACACACACACACAAAATAATTAAGCACAAAGGACACAAAAATTTATAGAGGTTCAGCAATTTGTCTACATCCTCTTTGGTGATCTTCCTAAGAAATTTCACTAATGAATGTAGGTTACAACTTTGGTTTACCAATAAAAACCCCTTTAGAACATTACCCTTACAATATGTTTCTCTCACACCCTTTGCTCAACACTTTGATGCACTTGTGAACTCTCTCACACTTGGTTTTCTCTCTTACTCACTGGCTCTCAGCTACTTGGCTTTCTTGCATTAGTTCCTCACTTGGCTTTCTTGCATCAGTTCCTCTTTATAATGTTGGTGTACGTCAACCTTTGAACTTAGGAGGAAGCTTCCTCCAACTGCACATCAACTTTCAGCCACCTTACCTAGAGCCAAAGAATAGGGGGACCATGAAACAAGTCAACATTGGAGAATTGGCTTGTTTCAAGCGGGTAATAGAGAGTACTTGAAAAATATCTCATTTGTTCACCAACATTGGAGAACTCCAAGTAATGAACTTGGACTTTGATGCTCCCAAGTAGTTAGCCCAAAGTATCCATTATTCAAGAGCTTTCATGGGCCTTATGGACCTCCGTAACCTTTTACAGCACAACCTTTCGTGCAAGGCCCGTAAACCACATAACTTAGGTTCATGTGAGCTTGGTAGGTGATTATCATAAAAAAAAAAATGTATTAGTCTTGCATGGAGTTATTTGACATGTGCTTGGAATGTTTGGGCATGTGTTGCAGTGGCTTGGGCCCCTTGTGATCAAGCTTAGTGACATATCATAATTAAATGAATAGGTTTTTGGCATGACATGGATGCTATTAGAATTTTTATAAAAGTTTGCGTACATATTTATTTTGTCATATTAATTCTCGAAAATATAATTGGAATTAAAATACATGACCAATTTATCCCTTATTTCGTACGTCATATTGGGCTTTAAATGCTTTTAGGCTTGTCGTGACTTTTTGGGCCTCAACAATAATCCCTATTTTTGGTGTCAATTATCTTGCCTAATAAATGACTTAATTAATTTGACCTAAGATATTCTTTTTTGTCCACATGGTGTCTCTTGATTGGATGCTAAAATATTTGCTTCCATAACTGAGTATCTCCAGGAGAGTCTCCAAATTTTAGTCAAATTCTAGATAAAATAGTTAGAAAGCTATTATATCAAACCACTTAAAAGGTGTTTCCTCCAGCAATGTTATCTATTTTGGCTAATCTTGAATATTTTATTATTATTTTCTCTTTCTTTCTCTTTCTCTTGCAAATCCAATATATTAAAAAGAAAAAAGAAAAAAAAATAGAAATCCAACCCCACCAACCTCCCAAATATCTCTATTTCTCTCTCCCTTTTTGTCTCTCCTCCTAGCCAAATTCTCTCTCCTCGCTAGATGTAGAGAGTCAAAAGTTAATTCTCCAAAATAGAGAGCCAAGTATGGAGTATGTTGGAGGAGGATTTTCTTTCTTTCTTTTTAGCCAAAGTAGCTAGGGATGAGAATATAGAGAGTCTGTTGGAGATGCTCTAAGAGTCTCTAAATTTTAGCTAAATTCTAGCTAAAATAGCTAGAAAGGTATTATAGCAAACCACTTAAAAAGTGTTTCCTCTAGCAATGTTCTCTATTTTGACTCATCAAAAATATTTTTTTATTATTTTATTTTTTTCTTTCTCCCTCGTTCTCTTGCAAATCCAATATATTAAAAAGAAAAGTAGAAACCTAACCCCACCAACCTCCCAAATATCTTTTTCTCTCTCCTCCTAGTCAAATTCTCTCTTCTCCTCTCTAGATGTAGAGAGCCAAAAGTTGGTTATTCAAAATATAGAGCCAAGTAGAGAGGGGATAGAGAGTCATTTGAAGCGGAGATAAATGACTTGCATTGAAATGGAGAAGCAAAGCACATGGAGAAAAGTCATTGCTTTGCTCCAGACTCAACTTCTTTGCATCTTTTAGGTGAGCTAATTTTTCCCAACAAACCACACCTCCCTCCCAAGATGGCAGCAGGCTCCGGCAGCCTCCTCTGAACCCCCAAAACTGATGTCGTTATTTTTCCCAGCGCCGGCATGGCCATTTGACACCTTTTCTACAACTTGCCGCATTATTGCTTGCCCGAAACCACTACCCCCCACTGAAACTGACCCTCATCACCACCCACCCAACCGTGTCCATAGCCGAGTCTTCTCTCATCTCTCGTTTCCTCTCAGCTTTCCCTGACCGTGTCACTCAAATGGACTTTCATCTTCTTCCTTTGGACCCTTCCACTGCCAACTCCACCGACCCATTTTGGCTCAAGTTCGAAGCCATTCGTCGCTCTGCTCACCTTCTCACTCCTCTGCTTTCCTCTCTGTCTCCACCTCCCTCTGCTCTCATCTATGACTTCAGTTTAATCACCCCTGTTCTTCCCGTCATCCAAAGCCTCCCTTATCACCTCTGTGCTTACATTCTCTTCACCACCTTAGCAAGAATGTTCTCTCTCTTTGCATCTTACCACAATTTGGTCGCATCCGCATCGACACCAGCTAACATCAACAACCCCACAATTCAATTTGGTGATGTTCTTGAAATCCCAGGTATTTGCCCGTCAATACCCAGATCGTCTGTGTCTCCATTGCTTCTTATCAGGAACAGTCTTTTTAGTAATATATTCTTAGAGGACGGTCCAAAGCTCAAAATTTTGAATGGGGTTTTGATCAATACGTTTGAAGGGCTAGAAGCAGAGGCATTACATGCGCTTAACGGTGGAAAAGTAACTTTCAATGATGGGTCTGGGTTGCCCCCAGTTTTTCCCGTTGGGCCTTTTGTGCCCTGTGAGTTTGAGAAGCTGCAGGGAGATGATGACCGCGACCAACTGAGAAACTGGCTTGATGATAAGCATGATGGGTCAGTGGTTTATGTGAGCTTCGAAAGCAGGACGGCCCTGTCAGGAGACCAAATCAGAGAGGTGGATGATGGGCTGGTCAAAAGCGGGTTTAGGTTCTTGTGGGTGGTGAAGGAGAAGCTGCCGTTGACAGGGAAGAGGAAGAAGAAGAGGGCAATTTAGTAATTGGGCATGAACTTATGGAGAAAGAGAAACTGAAGGGCAGGGGGTTGGTAGTGAAAAGCTGGGTGGAGCAAGGAGAAATCTTGGGTCACAGAGCAGTGGGTGGTTTTGTGAGCCATTGTGGCTGGACCTCGGTGGTTGAGGCTGCATGGCATGGCGTTAGAGTTCTGGCTTGGCCACAGCACGGCGATCAAAAGATCAATGCAGAGGTGGTCGAGAGGTGTGGGCTGGGGGTTTGGGCCAAAACTTGGCCTTGGGGCGGCGGCGAGAATGACAAGGTGGTGGTCAACGGTGAAGAGATTGGCGATAAGATCAAAGAACTGATGCCGAGTGAAGCTCTGAGAGTGCAAGCTGCAAGGATTGAGCAAGAGGCTAAGAAGACAGCCGGAGTTAGTGGGTGCCGTGAGAAAATGTTGAAGAGACTCATTAACGAGTGGAGGAAAAACTAATTATGTAGAATTTAATGTCGTATTGTAGCTCTTCACCAAAAATGTTCGGGCAAAACTTTTCTCAGTTTGCTATGTCTGTTTTGGTAATAATAGAAGGAGCCAAACTTTCTGAAGTTTCTGTGTGCTTTCATTTGGACCATTTCGCATGGATCACATGTTCTGTTACGTTATAGACCCACAAAGCATCAAAATATAATTGAGTTGAATAATTGTTGTACCTGATTTTGGAGAAAAACTTAGTTGCAAATCACTGTTTTACTATCCGATCAATAATATCACATAAAAGTATTATCATGCGTGTTATAGCATTATGGAGTCGTCGAGAATAGCATAATATTGTTATCCCCTTTCATGGAAGTCTATCCTGATTTTGGCAAGCTCTCTCTGTATCTCCTCTGTCCCAAGTAATAAAAGCAAAACAGTCCTTAAACATATGAGAGTTTTTGGACCATATCGCATGGATGGCATGCGTCCTGAAGAGATCTGAGAGTTTTCATACAAGTCGTTTTCTTGTTTTTGGGTTATGTCTTCAAACAAATTTACAAGTGATGCCCCCAAAAGTGTAAAGTAGTTGATAGTTTTTTTTTTTTTTTTTTTTTTTCTGTGGCTGATATTAAGGGTAGATATTTATATGGCTCGTCCTCGTTATCCCTTGTTCAGCGCCAACAACCACCATGGTTTCCTCTTCTTCATTCTCAGCTCTCTCTCATCCTTCCTTTCAAATTCCATATACCAATTTGGATTTCTGTGAAAAACCCAGTAACCTTCATAGCATAGTTCAAATTAAGAGCTATAGAAGACCAGCAACAGTCGTTGTTTCTTCTAGTTCTTGTCAAAGGTCTTCTCCTTCACCATCTCGCCGAGTTCTTCTTCATGGCTCTGTTTCTCTGGCTGCTTCAGCAGCCATTCTTCTATGCTCAGGTCCAGGTATGGAGTTGAAAGACCCAAGAATTAATATGAGCTTTCTTCTTATTTTCTTCTTCGTTTTGCAAACTTGCAGATTTCATTAGATTATCATTTATATTTTAAGTAAAGCATCAATCTTCTTGGTAATTATGTGTTTAGAAAAATGAAAATTTGTTGAGTGAGCAATTTGACGTTGCAGCTGAAGCCGGATTTCTATCAGGATCGACCGGGATAGAATCAATTCCTGGTCCTGAGTTGCCTCAAGTCGACTTTCTTAAGCGCTTCAATGGTTGGGTCCTCACTCACAGCTGATAACATTCATTTTTCAACTGGAGCACATTGAACAAGATTGATGAAAATGTTGTTTCATTCTTGCAGAAGAAAACCAGAAAAAGTATGCTGACAATGATGCAAGATTCAAATCAACTCCATTGCTCAAGGGGCTACTAGAAAAATCCAAGCTGAACAAAGAAAAGTAAGTTTTTGGTTGTCTGCTTAAGATCAAGCGCGTGTTGTTACCGAAGTTTTGATACCATGTTAGACAACCATTTACCTTAAAAAATAAAGTTGTTAGGAAACGTTATCAAAATATATGTATATATATATATCCTGTTTCTGCATGATTTTCATGTATCAGTTAGTTTCTAATGTTATATGAACTTGGAAATATTCAGGAATAGTAAGGAAATTCAAGACAAGTACTGCATACGTGGGGCAGAGTGGGGAGTTGGAGATTGCTCGGCAGAGGGAATGTCACCTGACGAGAAAGACAAGTTCATTGCTACGTTGAAGGAGAAGGCTGGTGTCAAGGATTGACTGAGAGACCCTGGTTTTGCTTTGTTTCAAGCTTAATTTCTTAGTCCCTTAGATTTGTTTTTTTTTCCATTTTATGACCTTGATACGTGCCTTTGTAATATGAATACATATAATGACCATGAGTTCTAGGAGCATACATTGTGACAATCAGTTCACAATTTGACAACTCAGTTTATCAAACCATGATATAGGAAAATCTTTTTATTTTTATTTTTAATACAAGGAAATTGAGGAAAAGGAGAATCGAACCTATGACGTCGAGTATAGAGGGGTAAAGCTCTTTAGCATTTGAGTGGTGGACATATTAAGGCGCTGCATATTGCCCCTTTGGTGAGGTTGGGTGGTGCACTCAACCTGTTTGACAAATTGACTCAACCAGAACCAAGCTTTACTGGGTTGGGTGGTTGCTGGCGCCTAATTTTTTTTAAAACATGCTGACCTAAACGACATCGTTTTGGACTGTTTTAAAAATAAAAAAAAAAATTTGATGGAAACTGAACATGAGCTTTAACAAGCTCTCTGATATTGGATGCTTAAAACATGATAAAAGGCTATTAAAAAAGGTCCTTTAACAAGCTTTTGCTCTTCTTTTTTTAAAACAAATTTAAAAAAAGGAAGAGATTGAGCGACACTCAAATCGAGGTACAATCCATTATGATTTGCTTATTTAATTAATTATTTGATATTAATTATCGTTAGATTATTTGATTATTTGACATTTATTTCTATATTAATTGATATATTATAGTCAATTAGTCATGATCATAAGTCTAAAACCCTTTTTGTTTCAATTATAAAGATATTTGGTTGTCAATTTTTTATTTATTATAAAACTTTTAGACTCTCAAAATTACACATTTACTAAAAAATTCATAACTACTTTTATTCGTGTAACCATCATCACATTACACATATCACATCTGTATTTGATGCATCCGATATATATACAAGCTTGAAGAGACTAAATGAAAAAATTATTGAAAATTTAAACAACAAAAAAAGTAACTGAAGGTTTACCATCTTAATTAACAAAATTCCAAAGGGGACAAATAAACCTATGATTTCTATGCTACTTTTGCATCAAAATCGCACACCCGAGGAAATATTAAAAAATATATAAAGAATATACATGTCATGTCACACAAATTGGTTTTGGTAAAGAATTACCAAAGGATAATTAATCCGCCAAAATTTGTTTACTTAAGCCTAAACAAATATTTAAGTTAATAATTTAATTCAACCAAAAGAAAATAATTATTTTCATTTTTAAATATAAGAATGGCGGCTCTGGAATTTTAGGAAAGATGAAAGGGTGCTTCCGATATTCCAAGTCAATTCAAGACAAAAGACAAAAATACGAAATGAAAAGGAAGTCCAATAAAAGAATATAAAAATACTAGCTAATAATTTGTGTGTGTATCCTATAATCTATTCCTATTCCTGGGCAGAACCCAAATCAAATGTCCTTTGCAAGCTCAGCGAGCCCAGCAATAAATTTTAGGATTTAATTCCTTTTTTTTATTTGATTTTCATTTGCTCCGAAAATTTCAGACTAGGGTTAGATATCCAGGCCCCTTGGTTCTATGTAATGGAGAATTGAATTCATTTCATTCTCCTACAGTTCCTCAATTACCAAACGAGAATTGCTAAGAAATTGAGCTGCTCTTAATTTGTTCCTGTGGCTCTGTAAGAGCTTGCTTGTGCAGAAAATTTGAATTTGGGTTTCTTAGCCAAGATAAACGAAAGAAGGAAGAAGAAAAGGTCATTATTTGGTTGAGATTACGCGCGGAATTGTAATTGGGAAACTCAGGTAAGGGTTTTCGTGGGTTATATGAAAGTTCATTTCTTGGATAAATTGTGTAGCTTTGTTGAAAATCATGATCTTATTTGTATAGAGATGTGATTAATGTGATTGTCACATGGCTGATTTCAGGGGAATTCTGTGTGATTAGTTTGGGTTAGCATTGTAGATTCATGTGGGAGTTGAAGCTTGAATTTTGAAACTTCTGGTGTATAGATAGTAGTGCTTTTGGCTACGGGACTGTGACTGTAATTCAGAGTCACAAAAATGTACCGGACTGTGGCCACAGCCACCACTGCAACCCGGGGTGGATCTCCAACTGATAATGGGGATTGTGTTGTGAGTTTGGATCAAGTTCCTCGATGGAGCAATGCAGATCATCGTTCTTCCTTGGAATATGACAATGAAGATCCTTCGTTTTCAAATAAATATTTTCCTGACCCTTTAACTTCTCAATCTGGAGGGGAGAGCAGTAGCAGTTGGATAGTCTCAAGATTTCCCGTTGACCATGAAATTAATTCGAAGATATATCTGTGGAGAGGGAACCCATGGAATCTGGAAGTTGATGCTGTCGTGAATTCTACAAATGAGGTGAGCACTAGATTATGATGATAAATCCTTGACAGAACATTGTACATGTGGATTACTGGGAATGAGAAACTTCATGATATTTAAACCTGGTTACATTGTCAATAGAGACATGGGGCTCACAAATTCTACTAGTCTGACATTCTTTTCAATTGGACAATTTACAGAACATGGATGAAGCACATTGCAGCCCTGGTTTGCATGCTGCAGCTGGACCTGGTCTTGCAGAAGAATGTGCAGCACTGGTGTGCTAGTTATTCATTGTTTTTTAGCCATTGCTGTACTGAATTATTTTGTGTTTACTTATTAGCTCTAGAATGTTGTTTTCAGACGTACTGTCCTTGATATTTGAAATGCCATGTAAATACAGATTTATGTGTAAAATTGAAGATGTTGAATAGAATACTACAAACATTTTCAATGTCATAGGTTATGTATATTTTATGTGAACCATTAATTAAAGCTTTCTGGCTGGTGTTCTGTCATAATTGATTAATATCAAGATTCAACTGATTTGATTTACCTTTGTTTGTTGGCAGGGTGGATGTAGAACAGGAATGGCAAAGGTTACTAAAGCGTACGACCTCCCAGCTAGGTGGGTATATTAATGCTGTTTTCATATAGAAAGCTCAATGTGCATTCACGCTGCAGACAACATTCTTGCCTAAGTGAATAATGTTTCTTTCCTTGTGCATTTATCCAGGAGAGTTATCCATACTGTTGGTCCTAAGTATGCAGTGAAATACCATACTGCTGCAGAAAATGCTCTGAGCCACTGCTATCGTTCTTGCCTTGAACTTCTCATTGAAAATGGACTGCAAAGGTGCATTTTTCTTCTTAGTATTTTAATTTATTGTGCTTCTCTTTTCTTTCCCTTTTGTTCTGTTCCTTTTGAAGTGTGGAGCTTACTTTGCTTGACCAACATAATTGTAGCATTGCAATGGGCTGTATATATACAGAGGCTAAGAACTACCCTCGGGAGCCAGCTGCCCATGTAGCAATAAGTGAGTTATTTTCTTACATGTTTCAGAATTGATAGATACAATATGCATGCCTATTTGTATGAATGCTGGATCACTCATATTTCTATTCATTTATATGCATCCACGTTTTAATTGCTCTTGGATAATTATGTTTTCAGAAGGTTGAATGTATTTCTTTCATCCTTTATTCTCCGCCTCATCTATGTGTGCTTATGTTCAGGGACTGTGCGGCGATTTCTGGAGAAGCAGAAAGATAAAATCGCAGCTGTTGTTTTTTGCACCACCACATCAACTGATACAGAGATATACAAAAGGTTAATAAATATAGCTATTTATTTCTGGAATACATGTGAATTGTGATACTTCAACCATGATTTACACTTATAAAATCAACTCTTAGTTTTACTGTCTCATTCCCCTTCACCTTTTTCCAATTTAGATTGCTTCCACTTTACTTTCCTCGAGACAAACTTGAAGAGGAGGTTGCCATGTCGAAGCTTCCTGCAGATGTAGGTGATGAAAATGGTGAGACAATTATAGATGAGCGCAAAATCAGAATAAAGCCTTTGCCCAAGAAGAATATTCCAAAGCCTCCTAAGGCTCCAGTTGATCTTCCTGTGAGTGATGTCGGCTTGGTAAGAAGGTTAGTCAATGACTCAATTAGAAGTAGTTTACATTTTATAGCAAAACTTAGAGCAGTTTCTTTAGTAATACCAAGAGAAATGCTTACAAAATGCTCACTGCAGAAAGCTGTTGAAGAATTCCATGTACACATATCAATGTGTTCATACATGTGCTGTGCAATTATGTTCTTTGTTGTTGTTGTTATCAAGCTTATGGTTCCTTTTGCTAGATATAACACTATCATTAGCTGTTTTGGTTTAAATCATTAACTGACACGCCGAAGGCCTGTTATATAGGAATTCATCATATTTGGATTCATTTCTGGATCCTGCTTTCATGTCCTTAATAAAAGATCCAGATCAGAGACGCAAGGAGCAATGGGAGAAAACTGCTCAAGCGCAAGGTGGATGGAATTGTGCTAAAATGCTTGGGTTTGGTGACCTTGGTGGACCTCCATTGTCTGCTGCAGAAGAATACTCACTTCATTCAAGATACCTTGCTAAAGCAAATTCTCTTCATCTTTCTGAAATTGCAGAAATGAAAATTGTGTAAGCTTTATAACTCTTTCATCTTTAACTCAGTGGCAGTTGTGGAGTCTTCAGATTGTAATTTTCATTCCTGGACAGCTACTAATTTATAAAGTGCTTTGCATTCTAATTTTCCCTTGTTATTAGTAGCTCTTCTGTTAGTTGTTTTCATATCTCATACACAAAGAACAGGAGGTGGTTTTGTGTTGTTAAAACAATACAAATGTTGATATGTTGCTACCTAATGGTGGTTGAATCTAAAAATGTTATGAACCCTTCTATGAGATTTATAAATTTTAATTATTATTATAATTTGTCTTGAAATCATGTGGAGCAGAAGGGAAGGGTGTTAATAAGTCTCTTGTGTTGCAGTTTATATTAAATTTAATGTCTATTTTTTCTATGTATTTCAGTTACCGAGGTGGGGTTGACAGCGAGGGTCGTCCTGTAATGGTAGTTGTGGGGGCACATTTTCTTTTACGATGTCTTGATCTAGAACGATTTATACACTATGTTGTTAAGGTAGTACAACATTAAAATTTGTGTTAATCTGCATATATGATGGAGCTTTTGTATCTTTGGTAGTTATGGTTCTTGGTACTCAGATATCTATCTTGTTTATTGATTTACAGGAGTTTGAACCTATAATACAGAAGCCTTATACTATTGTATACTTCCATTCTGCAGCATCTTTACAGCTGTAAGTTCTTCATAGTTAAGTTTGCAAAGCTTGAAACAATTCTAAGGGTCGTTCCCCCAAAAGAATAAAAACATAAGGAAAAAATGAGCCTTTTTATTCTAATCTATACTTCCGCTCCATGTGAACTTGTCTGATGGAGTTTAATTTCTAACTTTGAATACAAGTGAAGTGATAAAATTGTACCTGAAAAGCTTATATGTAAATTTCTGTAACTAGTTCGGTTTCATTTCCTGCATGTATTGCAGTCAGCCAGACTTGGGGTGGATGAGAAGAGTACAACAAATACTTGGTCGTAAACACCAACGTAATCTGCATGTAGGTACCACCGAGTTTGTCCAAGTACTTCAGCAATTATATTTCTGCCATCATCTCTCTGATCTTTATCTTCTATATATAGGCAATATATGTCCTTCACCCAACTTTTGGACTGAAGGCTGCAATATTTGCTCTGCAATTGTTTGTGGACAATTTGGTATGCCTAACTTTCTTTGTGATTGTTATTCATTAAGAGTTCATATCACTTACAAAGCCTGCTTCAAGTGAATGTCATTCTAACTTTTGTTTCTAGGTCTGGAAGAAAGTGGTATATGTAGATAGATTACTGCAGCTCTTCAGATATGTTCCTCGTGAGCAGTTGACCATCCCTGACTTTGTGTTCCAGTTGAGTTTCTATGTTCCTTCCCCTACTTACCCCACTCCATTTTTATAGCAACTTCGATTTAAAATTCCAAATTGCCCAGTATGCAATGATTGTAATAAAATGTAAACAGAGGTTTGATTCTGATGATTTTGGTGACCATAATAAATGCAGGCACGATTTAGAAGTCAATGGTGGGAAGGGTCTTATTGTGGACCCAAGAACAAAATATGTGTATCATCGACCATAGCGTCACACAGAGAGTTCCATCGGGCACACACTGAAGGAGATCCATGGCTTGTGATTTCTTGATTATATTTTCTTTTCTTATAGCTTATAGTTAGATGGGAGTTGATTTTGTCTCGTGTAGAAAAAAGTTCAATTTTTTTTAAACAGTTTTTTTCTTCTGTTTCCTGAAGCAATGATCTGTTTGTATCTAAAGATGAAAATTAATAAATATTAATATTCTTTCTTGTATTATCTTGGACAAGTCAAGTCATCAATAAAATGTAAGTTGGTTTGAGCTTTTTCTGAAAAACAATTTCAAGGAAGTTGCTTGTGCATTTTTGTAGCCTGCAAATCAACCGGTTACCATGCAATCTTTTGTGTACGGTGCTCAGGCTTTCCTGTTTTCTGCCAACCTTCTTTTTCTTTTTCCCCAAAAAAACCTAAATTAAAAATTTCTCAAAGTTCCATGACACTATGACAAGGGGGGAAACTTATTACAAAGAAAAAGGAAAAAATAGGTGCTCAATTTCTCAAAAACCATTTGTAAAAAAAATTTCAAGTTTAAGCGATGAAAAACTCAGAAAAAAGTCATACAATTAATATAAAATCTATTAATTAATTAAGCAAAAATAAATATAAAAATTTACTATTGAGTAAAAAAAAAGTTTTCGGATATTTCTCCTCTTGGTTCTCCAAGTCTAGTGGTTACACTTGTCAGCTTATTTTCCAGAGAAACACAGTTCGTATCGTAATCCGCGACGCAGACGAAGGCGCGACTCAGCTTGAAACCGTTCCACACACTGATTTATACATTTTGGAATTGTTTATATAAAATCTGGCAGACGAAGACGAACCCAACCAAGTTTGCTTCTTCTTTACTTTCTGTGGCTACTCTCCGGTGAGCTCTCCTCTTACATACTCTCATGTTCTTCACTGTGAATTCTATTTCATGGGGAAGACTCAAGCTAATCGATTTGGTTTGCTTTTAGAATTTCTCTGGTAATTTTAGAACCCAATTAATGAAGATTTAATGGGATAATTTACAGAAAGATAAGCTTTTGATAAGAGTCTTCAACTGGGTATATGTGATTATTTTCACTTCCGTTTTTTATACTTGGACTGGAAGTTGAATGTTGGACCAAAATGTGTTAGTTTGAGTAAAACTCATTTTGCAGTTGTGTTTGTTTCACATGCCCACTAGTTTATTTCTTGGTGTTGCATGCTTGAAAGATTTGTTGTTAGAGATTTGGTTCAAGTATAACGTTTACAATTTTAATAGGACTTACTGAACATTGTAGATGCTGATATTTCTGAACACAAGTGTGGAAGAAGAAAGGTAGTATTTTGTAAAGGGTATCTAATTGCTCAGAAAGCAAAATGGTGCAAGGTCTGTCACTGAACACTCTAACTACGTCCCGTAATGGTGCCTTCTGTGGATCAATGCCTTCGTGGAGGAAGCATTTCAAACTAATGAGGAAAACCCAGATAAGCTCTGTTATTGAAAGGCATGGTATCTGGCATCTGTGTCATCAAAGCTTAGTCTTAAGAGGTAACCCCAATATGTTAAAACAAAGGAACGTGAGGGTGGAAGCTGGGTGGCTGTTTAAAAGGGGTGATCAGGGGTTGAATGCAAGCTCAGAGCAAAGCGAGGCTGCTAATGAGGATATTTTGATATTCTTTTTCCAGCTGGACCTGGCAACTCGAGTTCAGGTTCGATGGGATTCCTTTCACGGTTTAAATTTTATATTAGGGTATGGCATTTCTCTCAATTTTGTTTGTCTAACAAGAATTTACTTTTTTGGGGATACGTTTGCAGTATGCCTTGAACACGGAACAGTACGATATTGCACAACAACTAAGAAACAAGCTGACTGAGGTTAGGTCTCTCATCCTGATTTTAAGCGATATGCTAACCAGGTCTGGCATTGCTTGTTTTGAAATTTCAATTTTTCTACATTAACAGTCTTTGAGCTCCAAAAACAAAAGGCAAAGAGTACGAAGGAAGGCCTTTTAGGCCTTAACAAAATCTTGAGAAACAGTCTCAATTTTTAATGCAGGTTTAGTGTTCCTAGCTTTCTATGAACCACACTGACGAAACTTCTGATTACTTTTAATAACATTAGAAAAACCAGAACGTTTTGTAAACACGATCTATGCTAGCTGATTTCTTGGCCTTTGAAAAGGATCGTTGGCATGTAATCTTTTGGGGTGTTGTGTTCCATACCAACATGTCTAAGCATCTGCATAAATGGAGAATGAAATGAATTCCAGCTTGCCTAATAAGCGTTCTTTTTGTAAGGTTGAAGCTGAGGTTATTAGGCAGCAAGAGGCAAAAAGGGGATCGTCTCCCAAGAGTGAAGCTCAAGATAAGGCTATAAGTATCATTCGCTTACGGTACGCCCCAATTTTTGCCATATTTTATCTAATTCAGTTTTAATTCAGTGAGAAAGGTGCAATTTATATGTTTCTTCCTTCTACTGTCTTTCGATTCGACCCTTCAATTCTTTTGGCATATGGGGTCAACTAAACATTAAAATAGACTGCTTCTTTGTCTTTTCTTACAGTGCAGACTTGCAGAAGGCAATTGAGAATGAGAATTATGCATTAGCAGCCAAGCTACGGGATGCAATATCTGAACTGGAGGCAGAATCACTGGCTGCATCCGCCAAAGCTCTGGCACATGAAAATGCAAATTATTCGTTTCGTTTGGGACAGAGAGTGAGGCATAAAAATTTTGGTATGTTAAGTAGTTAAAAAGTAGTTGAATTTTATGAATTTGAGCGATTGCTAGGCAATTCATTGCAAAAGCATTGAAGAGTCTGTATAAAAAGTAGCAGCTTGGAAGAATCATCGTGGAATAAGTACGACTGGATTTTATGTGTTTCTTCGTTTCTTTTCCTGCCTGCTTGCTTCTGTTACATAAATCTTATGTTATGTTACTTTTTCAGGCTATCGAGCAGTGGTTTGTGGAATGGATCCCGTATGTTGTGAATCAAGTTCATGGATGGAAACTGCACAGGTTGAAAAATTGCATCGGGGCTCTAATCAGCCATTTTATCAGGTTTGAAATCTGAGCCCTTCATGACTATGCACCTCCACATATGCCTCTGATATGATCTATTAAAATCAGTTAGCATAACAACAATAACAACGGTAATGATATGGCAACAGTGATATATAATATGCTATCTGAATGATTGCTTTTATCTCTATCCCCTTTTATCTCTTCTTTATCTTTTGTCAGGTTTTGGTTGATGTACATGCGGACCCCAACCTTCTGGTGGCATATGGTAATACTCAGCTGTTTGACCCAATTCCTTCTCAGATTTAAGTTTCTTTTCCCATGTAATCAGCTTCTCTTTCTGCAGTTTCTGAGGAGAATCTTTTAGCCCCTGACGAACCAGATGTGGTGAGTAGAAAACCCACCCTTCTTTTGTTTTCTTTTCATTGTGAGCCTATTCTTTCCTCTTTTTGAGTTGGGTTGCTCTTGAGTAACATGAGAAATTACCCTGTTAATTTGGTCTGTTCTGTTGTTAACCTCGCAGGATCAATTTGATCATCCCTACATTTCCTTTTTATTCTATGGGATGGATGCCGCTGGAGATTTCATCCCGATCAAGCAATTGCGAGAGAAGTACAATAGACCCCGACATGAAATACCCTTTGATCCACTAGATGAGGGGCATGGAAGTGATGCTTAGATGCTTAGACAAATCCAAGCAACGGACCTTGTATAAGATACTGACCATCAATATATTTTTTTCATCTTTTTTCCCCATACAGTGAGAATAGCTTCCCTACTCATTAGAATGTGGATAGATCATTAAACGTGCAGAAATCAACAGTCTGTATCTCTATGTTTGTACCCTACTCACTCTGAAGCCTTAGAACATTACACTATTGATTACGATGTTGTGAAATTTCCTTAGAACATTACACTATTGATTACGATGTTGTGAAATTTCCTTAGAACATTACACTATTGATTACGATGTTGTGAAATTTCCTTAGAACATTACACTATTGATTACGATGTTGTGAAATTTCTTCTGCCCTGTTCATCATTTTGTCGTCATTTGAAATTTTCACAATTTTATATTTACCCAAAACCAAAAGTGAAAAATGGAACATATGCCATGCCGAGTGGACTTTAGGCCAACTATGTCCGAGTGGCCCAATATCTTGAGAAATCTTTTGCCGCGGCGTGTTTAAGTCCTCCGTCCGTCACCCATTTGTGACAGACGCTCTCTCTCTCATCCTAAGTTCAGAGACAGATTCTTCGTATGCATTCCTATATGTCCCATGTCAAGTAGGCTTAACCATGACCCTGTACATGCCCTTGTTCAGGTCCTGCACCATCTTAAGAACACTCACCCAACTCCATGCCCACCTCGTAATTTCAGGTCTCCACAAAGACCCACAAGCCTCTACCAAACTCATCGAATCTTATGCCCAAATGGGTTCCCTCCGATCCTCAACCCAAGTTTTTGAAACCTTCCCAAAGCCAGATGCTTTCATGTGGGGTGTGCTTATGAAGTGCCTTGTGTGGAATCACTACTTTCAAGAAGCCATTTCACTCTATCACAAAATGTTGCACCATGTAACCAGCATGAACAGGTTTATATTCCCTTCCATTTTGAGAGCTTGTTCGGGATATGGTGATCTGGGTGTTGGAGGGAAGGTCCATGGGAGGATAATAAAATGTGGGTTTGACTCTGATGTGGTGATTGAGACCTCATTGCTTGGTTTGTATGGAGAACTGCGTTGCTTAGATAATGCTCGGAAGGTGTTTTACGCAATGCCAATGAGAGATGTGGTGTCGTGGAGTTCGATTATTTCGTGTTTAGTGGAGAATGGAGAGGCAAGTGAAGGGCTTGAGATGTTCCGTTGGATGGTCTCTGAAGGTGTTGAATCGGATTCAGTCACAATGCTTGGTGTAGCTGAGGCTTGTGGGGAGTTGGCATTGTTGAGAGTAGCAAGGTCAGTACATGGTCATGTTGTTAGAAGGGGAATTAAAAGTGATGGGGCTTTAGAAAACTCTCTAATTTCAATGTACAGTAAATGTGGTGACTTGCAAAGTGTGGAAAGGATTTTTCGTACGGTTACTCATTGGCACACTGCATCTTGGACTGCAATGATCTCCTCCTACAATCAAGCTGGTTATTTTTCGGAAGCACTAGACGCTTTTGTTGAGATGCAAGAGTCTAAAGTGGAACCCAATTCAGTAACCTTGATGAGTGTTCTGCGGTCTTGTATTAGGTTAGACTTGCACAAAGAAGGGAGGTCTGTTCATTGCTTTGCTATTAGAAA